TTACCAACATATATATCGTGCTTAAGATAGCTAAGGCTATCTGCCGATGTCCGTAATCTTTAATTACTGATCAGAGGGAATCCGGCAAGTACAAAGTGCCTTACCACCCACACTAAAGGATTGGCTGTCAGTCTTATAACGCACCCACAGCTGAAAGTGGGGGGGGGATATATTTGTTGTAATCGCAAGGGATTTGAACGCTGCTCGCCAGCTCCAATATCCAGAGCTCCACCACAAAGCCAACTGTGACACTTAATTATTATCATTTTTATTCTATTTGACAAATGTTTGTTTGTTTTAGAGCAAAGCCACATTGGGCTATCTGCTGTGTCTACCGCAGGGAATCAAGTCCAGGATTTTAGCGTTGTAAGTCCGTAAACTTATAGCTGTTTTGGCAAATGAGTTATTTCTATGACCTGTAATACTGTATCGTGTTTACCTCTCCACGTACACGTTGTAAATTGTGTATCTTTCTTACAAATGTTTCTAATCTGACAGCGTAGAAAAATCTACAACAACCGTTTTTCCGGGGACTTTTGGACTGGCTGTCATCCTCCAAAGGTGTGTTAAATCACACGAAACTAAGAAACATTATCCAATTTGAAATATTCTATAATGTTACATAAACAGATATGAACCAGATCTAGAGTATGTGGGTGTATATTATTATAATCATTTAATTACACCTAGCAATAAAGACTAATATATATATATGTATGTATGTGTGTGTGTGTGTAAATATACACAAAAATAGTGTCATTATATGTGTTTCAGAAAACAAGGTATCTGACTAAGCAATTGTAGGTCAAGTTATAAACTCATTGAAAATCAACTTATTAAATACACTGTAGTTATAGAGTAACAGTGAGAGTTACCTTTTAAAAACTGTGGTTATATAGTAACAATGAAAGTTACCTTTTTAAATCCCATATTTATATAGTAACAATAAAAGTTACCTTTTTAAACCCCATATTTATAGAGTAACAATAAAAGTTATTTTTTTAATACTTTAGTTACAGAATAACAATGAAAATTACTTTTTAAACAGTTATTTTAGAGTAACAATGAAACTTGCGTTTTCAGACACTGTAGCTATTAAGTAACAACAAAATTCAACTTATAAAACACACTTTGATACAGTGTATCAAGTCTTGTGATATCTCTTCACTTAGCACTGTGTATTTTTATTGACATCATTCTTATAAATTAGTTTAAAAGATGCTTCACAGAATATCCTTAAATAACTTTTTCTAATTAAGGGGTGAAATGTTGGAGTTATACTTCAATAATCGTTTTTTATTTAATAACTTACATCATTCTGAGTTTCATGTTGGTTTATGTTGTCCTCTGCGAGCCATAGCAACAACAGAGAAACAACGGTCTATATAAGTAAACCAACTCTGACCTTGACAAATACTTGGTGTACAGGTGCCAGGAAGAAGTTGGCAGGAAAATTTGGACGATCATCAACATGATTTATTTTTAGTTGGGCCATGATTATACAGCTTTTAATATACCTTTACCTGAAGAAGTAAAAAAAAAAGGAAAATTCATGATACGTAATGAAGAAAAACAAATGGAAAAGAAAAAGACTTTTCAGGAGTAAAGAAAAAACCAACTTATCAGATTTTAACTTATAATTACATGTTCAAATTACGCAAGATAGAACAGGTTTCACATTTATAATGTACTACAGGACCAATCAGGTTAGACTGTACTACATCTTGTTTTACCAGACACTTTCGTTCAGGTTAAACCATGAATACAGCTAATGACTCAAAATATTTCCGTTTTCATAAAGAGCAACGGTTTTCTGAGACTCCAAACCTCACTTCCGAACGAGAATTATATCGCCGTTCTTAAAATATACTTTCATTGAAGTTACAGACTATTTATGTCGCAAATCGATATGCGACTGTCTTGTTGCTGTTGTTGTTTTTTGAAAAAATCCTAATCTCAGAAAACTCCTCGAGCCTAAAGAATTATTTGTTTGTTTTAAGTTATGCACAAAGCTACACAATGGGCTATCTGTGCTCTGCCCACCACGGGTATCGAAACCAGGTTTCTAGCGTTGTAAGTTCGCAGACATACCGCTGTGCCATGGGGGGGGGCAGCCTATAGAAAGAAGGACTTGTTTGTTTTCAAATTCGATGACGAGGAACCTACTTTGAGACTAATAATGGCTGGAGACGGCTTGAATGGGTAATGAAGAAAAACTTTAATATAAGTTTAACATAACAGCAAATGTACAACGTTTCGACAAGGTTTTGTCATCAACAGGTACAAGTTTTTCTTCATTACCCATTCAAGCCGTCTTCAGCCATTATTAGACTTGTTTGAATATTATTGTTCTAAGACAAGTCTTAGAAGAAGATAACTTTAACAAACCTTTCTCTAACTTTTTTTTTTTTTTTTTTTGAAGGGGTGTTGTCGGATTTCATTTTAATGTATGAATACACACATGTATGGCTATGTAAAATGAGACTTAAGTCAAATTCAAACCGGCAGAGGGTCACAGATTTTGAAATTTATATTACGAAATATCAACTACCTTAAATTTACATTTATAAAGAAAAGGGAAAAAATCAGTTCTACTACCTGTTACTTTTCGGAAATATTTTCAGCGTTTTCCTAAAATAAACAGAGATCAATGGTAAAATTTATTGTTATAAGACGACATTTTTTCTTGTGGGTCTGGTTGACAAAGCAAACTTTCTATTTTCTATGTGTACTTCACAAAATGAGAATGCTCGTGAAAAATGAGGTTGTTATCTGTTTTGATGAATAATAAAAGAGCATATAAATCCCATCGTTTTGTATTTTTGTACATTTATAGGTGGTTTTCTGTATTATGAAGCAAAAAGTTTCAAAATTTGTAGTTTGGTTACAAGAAATTTTGGAAATAAATAAAAGATTTATCAAGAAGCATTTGGATCATCGTGTTATCTCCGTTTATTAAATGGATCGTCGTATTACGTTTGATTTTTAATTGGATTATCATTTTATCGCTGTTTCCTAATTGGATCATCATAATATTTCTGTTTTCTAATTGGATTATCATGTTATTTCTGTTTTCTAATTGGATCATCATGTTATTTTTGTTTTCTAATTGGACCATCATGTTATTTCTGTTTTCTAATTGGATCATCATGATATTTCTGTTTTCTAATTGGATTATCATGTTATTTCTGTTTTTTTAATTGGATCATCATGTTATTTCTGTTTTCTAATTGGATCATCATGTTATTTCTGTTTTCTAATTGGACCATCATGTTATTTCTGTTTCCTAATTGGATCATCATGATATTTCTGTTTTCTAATTGGATTATCATGTTATTTCTGTTTTTTTAATTGGATCATCATGTTATTTCTGTTTTCTAATTGGATCATCGTGATATTTCTGTTTTCTAATTGGATTATCATGTTATTTCTGTTTTTTTAATTGGATTATCATGTTATTTCTGTTTTCTAATTGGACCATCATGTTATTTCTGTTTTCTAATTGGATCATCATGATATTTGTGTTTTCTAATTTGATTATCATGTTATTTCTGTTTTCTAATTGGATCATCATGATATTTCTGTTTTCTAATTGGATTATCATGTTATTTCTGTTTTTTTAATTGGATCATCATGTTATTTCTGTTTTCTAATTGGATCATCATGATATTTCTGTTTTCTAATTGGATCATCGTGATATTTCTGTTTTCTAATTGGATTATCGTTTTATTTCTGTTTTCCAAGGTGGCTAGGGTGCTCGACTTGCAATCTGCGGGTCGCGGGTTCGAATCCCCGTCCCACCAAACATGCTTGCCCTTTCAGCCGTGGGACGTTATAACGTGACGGTCAATCCCACTACTCGTTGGTAAAAGAGTAACCCAAGAGTTGGCGGTGGGTGGTGATGACTAGCTGCCTTCCCTCTAGTCTTACACTGCTAAGTTATGGACGGCTAGCACAGATAGTCCTCGGGAATTCGAACCCACGACCCTCAGATTGCAAGTCGAGCGCCCTAACCACCTGGCCATGCCGGGCCCGGATGATACTTAGCTACAGTTACTGATTCTTGACAACTTTTTTAAAAACCTTTTCGAAGAATGAAATTCTTGCTTGATTATATCAAAATGCTCTTTATGGAATTTTTTTCATCGCTAGATTTTTCTATATTTTAATCTTCCCATATTAAACTTTAAACTCATTAAAGCGTGAGCTGAACGTAGCTTAATGGTTAGCTGCCGCGGGCTGGATTGTAGATCTGAGGGTTCCCGGCTCGCGTTCCATTGCGACAAAGAGAAATAGTGTTTCTTACTTTGGGACTGTGGGTACGCTAAAAGAACTACAGTCAAATCCCACTATTCAATTACAGTAGCCAACACTAGGCGGAGGGTGCTGTTGATAAGCTGCTTTCTCTCTAGCCTATCATTTCGAAATTTGAAACGGCTAGTTTTGCGCGAATATATCTGGGAAAAAATCCAACAGCTGAAAACACTGCGAACTATGTGAAGTATTAATAGTGACAGTCCACCCAATATCTTTGGTTCCAGAAGCCTTGTGGTGGCGGGTTGAAAATTGAGATCGTTTAGCCTATGTACGCATAAGAGGACCTATAGGTTGAATGTTATATGCTTATATTAAAACCAAATTAAAGGACAACTGAACAATGTAGTATAAGGATGTGGGGATTATCCATGCTTACTAAATAAATTTTATTAATTGTTACTTTCATTGTTATTCTTTAGAATATTTCACTTTGGTAGTTTTGTTTTGTTTTCTCAAATTGCAACTTGAAAATTCTACGTTTAATTTTTAATAGTCCTAACTTGAATTCAACTCAACATTTCTGCTTCTCATAAAAAAATAAAAACGAATTGTTTTTGTTATTACAAATATGTGTGGTTGTCATTAGTCCCAACCTTGCCTTAAGTGGATGCTTCAATACGTACACTAAACTATATATTGACTAAGTTTGATATGTTTTATCACAAAAAAGTAGTCCATTTCAGTTTCAATAACAAATTTATTACCATCATTTCTGATCGTGTAAGTATATATAGTAAAAGACTGAAAACAATGTTAGTTACGTACTTTTGATATGCAATACAAGTGTATCGAAACTGAAACCGCTTGGTATATGATTTCAAAATGGCTTTTAAGAACATATTTGTTGAGTTTGGAAAATATGCGATTCACGTTAACCTCGTCTACCATTTTTCTTCTTTCGGCCACGTTTTCGTTCTCGTCTGTCTTCACGGCTTTCCTTACTCTCTTTACTTTCCTTGCTTTCTTCTTTACTTTCATTGCTTTCTTCTTTACTTTCCTTGCTTTCTTCTTTACTTTCATTGCTTTCTTCTTTACTTTCCTTGCTTTCTTCTTTACTTTCCTTGCTTTCCCTGCTGTTCTTCTCTTTGCTCTTTCTCCTACTTCTGTTTTCGTCTTCTTCATCTTCTGTTGTTGTAGGCTCGGTGGTGGTGGTTGTACCTTCGGTTGTGGTTGATGAAGAAGAAGTTGATTCCAATGTTGAAGAAGAGGTAGACTCTGATGGTGACGAAGAAGTCGATTCAGTTGAAGTTGGAGATGGCGATGTTCCGTTGTTGGGATCTGGTGGCACAGATTGAGCTTCTCCATAGCTTGTCAACGCCAAGATGGAGGTCAACAAGAATGGCAAAAGTGAATATATCACGATTCTCTGTAACCAAAAATATGATGTTCGCAATTGTGCGAATAAGTCATTACTAACCCATTATCTTGAAGTTAAAAACAAAACAGAAATAAGGTATTTAGAATAAAGTAATTATTTTCCCTAAATGATTACGTCATTATTCCTCTTCTCATCCAAAGTTACACACACACAAATTAAGGAAAGCTAATTCGGTAAATATTAAACTACAACACAAAATACACGTGTTTGAAGCCTTGAGAATCCTCAGGAACCAGGGATCGAAATATTAAATTATCGCATTCCAGAGGAATTTAACTTTGCTTGAGAGCCCCCCAGTGGCACAGCGGTATGTCTACGGACTTACAACGCCAGAAATCAGGTTTCGATACCCGTGATGGGCAGAGCACTGATAGCCGATTGTGTAGCTTAGTGCTTAATTACAAAGAATTATCAAACAAAAAACATTGCTTGAGGAATTTCATATTTTTAGCTGGCTTTCTCGATCCGGAATGCATGGTCCATCCCTATTCCTTTAGTTATGGCCAATGAAAGTGAACATATTGCATGGATTGAATAAATAAAAAAAAATCATGAGGAAATGCAACTTTATACGAGGGAATCTAATCTTCCTGATAAATTTCCCTCGAATGGATGTAATTTTATTTCATTATTTCCATTACTGGGAACTTACAAAAATTAAAGAAATAACTACGCTCTTGTCACACTAATTACACTTTTACTACAGACGTATCAATTCTTTTCTTAAACAAGTATTTCACGTTATCATATCATTCTAAATCAAATATTTTCATAATTTTGGTGAACAAAACACATTTAACAATGATAGATATGGATGGAGAAAATGAGTTGTTGTTTTGCTTTCATGAGAACTATTTTTTCAAACCCAAAAGTGGCGGAATGATTTAAAATTGAAATCAATTTTAATTTTAATTATACTCTTAAATAAATACTCTTTTTACTTGTTCATTTGTCAATAGTGCTCTTATTTTTCGGTAATCAACCTCATTCTTTGAATTTTTAAGAAAGTTTTTATATAAAATACGAACCAACTGAGACCAACCTTTGTCGCCATGTTGTGCGGTTCTTGAAAGTCTTCGTAATGATTGATGGAGAATGAGGAAAGGAAGAGTTTTTATAGCTAGAGCAGGGTTGACCTTTCGCGATCTGTTACGTCACCACTCTAAGTGCGTAGGAAGATGTATGCACGGCTAGTAACGCATGAAATCGATTTCAACATACTTTCTCTGTAGATTATTTACCGCCCCTCTCACTCCCGTAGCGCAGCGGTAATCTCAAGGTTTATAATACTTAAATTCGAGTTTCGATCCCTGCGATGGAGACAGCCCATTGTCCAGCTTTCCGCTAAAAACAAACAAAGATATATTGTTCATTGTTCTCTGGTCTTCATCAGTTAAAATATTAAAAATAGAGGGAAGGCGGTTAATCATCACCACCACCTTCAACTGTTGGGCTATTATTTTACCAACGAACAGTGGGATTGACCGTCACATTATAATGCCCTCACGGCTGAAAAAGCGAGCATGTTTGATGGGGCGGGGATTCGAACCCGCGACCAGCAGTTCGCGAATCGAGCGCCCTAACCACCTGGCCATGCCAGGCCCAACTCTGAAGGCTTCTAACGCTAAAAACCGGGTTTCCATACATGTGTTGAGCACAGAACAGATAACCAATTGTGTAGTTTTGTATTTAACTCCAAACAAAATTAATATATATATATATATCTTAACACCATTTAAAATTGTTCGGGTTCATAACTGGATTTAGTGATATTATCCAATGTATCAACACTGAAAATGTTTCTTTTTATATATTATTTAGCACAATTTATAATTCTTAAATGGACCACTGTTTGATAATGATATTAGAAATTTCCTTGCCTTTCACCAAAGATCAAACTGAAAATATAAGCCGTGACGTAGGAGCTTAATGTATATTTTGATTCGAAGCATCGTCTGCTGTGGACTGCAGTTTCACCAATTTCAGGTTCGTCAGAATAGTTTGGGTCAACAAAGCAAAGAAAGTGTGGTATAGTACAAAGTGTCATTTCATTTCAGCCAAAGGCTAGTGAATTACTAAAAAGTTACGTCCTCTCTTCAGCCTCGAGTTGTGACGAGAAAAA